GGAAGGAAGGAAGGAAGGAAGGAAGGAAGGAAGGAAGGAAGGAAGGAGGGAAGTAGAGTGGGGAGAAGGGAGAAGAGGGAACAAGAACAGTGGCTACCACTTATTAGTACTTACAGTACTTACACTACTTACCAGGCACTACACAGGGCACCTAGTACGAAATATCTCATTTATGTGATAAATCACTCCTCTCAAGCACATACTTTTAGTTCCACTTTACAGACAAGAAAACCAAGGAACAGAGAGGTGAAGTAGCTTGCCTAAGATTGCACAGCACCAGGTAAGAGAGCTGGGGTTTTAACTCCCAGCAGCCTGGCTTCAGAGCTCATGTTCTTAGGCACTATAAGGGTCACACAAAAGTCCTCCAAGGACTTGGGAGGGTATCGAAGGAGGAAGTCCTCCTGTCACCACCCCGTGGGCCGTGGGGCCCGGGCACTGACCTTCTCAGCCTTCTGGTGGAAAATGGAGGACATGTCCAGCAAGGTGCTCCGCTCATCCAGGGCTGCCGCAAATGCCTTCCACTCCTGCTCCAGCTGGTTCGCAATCTGCTTGATCTGCTGAGAGGCGTAGTGGCCAGACTCTACCAAGCGATTTGCCACCGACATTATGCGGTTTATGTTTACATACACGTTCTGCAAAAGGGGCAGAGAAAGAGGGCTCGTGAGGGAAGGCGGACAAGAAGCTTCTTTCTAAGAAACACAGAGGATGGCGCTTTCTGAAACACAGCCCACGAACTTCAGTTATATTTTGAACAGCAGAATCACCTGGTACAAAATAGTGTACATATTTGCTATCTGATTTCCATAAACTCTAAGCATTGGTTTCAATTTCTATTTTTAAAACTGCAAAATTACAAATCAACTAGCTGAGAGGCAGACTGTTAGGCACAAAGCAACAGAGTACACAAGTGGGCGCACAAACATACTCTGACTCACTCACTGGCTTCGAATCCTGAAAAGGGTCCAGATGGCAAGCCCACTGTGAAGCAGTCACCCAGAACCGACAAAACCCAACGCTGCAGGTTTTAACTAGAACCCAGAAACTACGCACGGATCAACCATGGGCTGTTGTTCTGTGTGGAAACAAGCTCTCCTGTCTACACGAGCTCCAGGCGCCTGTCGCTTTGGGGCCAATAGAGAATCTTCTGGAAACGGATCCACTTTCTCCACGGAAGAGGAACCGAGGCACGAAAGGAACCACGCTGCGTGCACACCTTCAATCCAGCTTTTCTACTCCGTGAAGTGCCCATCTTCAAGCCTACCAGTTTACTGTGAGGCTGAAAAACATATACCACTTTCTCCCCAAATTAGTTCTCACTATGTTGTTCCCCTTTCCACCTTCAGTCGCCCTTGAGGCTCCCATTCCAGGGAAGGCAGCAGTGGGGAGCGTGCACCTTCAGCAAACCCCAGCTGCAGTTAGTTCGTCACAACGCTGCTCCTCTTAGAAGTTCCCCAAAACCCACCAAGACACCTCTTTCTTTGGCTCCTCCCTCCCTATCCAGCCGTGAAATCTGATCATCCAACCTATCCAGACCCCTCTCCATGTTTCTGGCCTCCCCTCCCCTCTCGCGTGGTCCTCTGAGCCACTGTCCCTCTGCCACACCCCCTGCAGCAGCCTCCTCACTGCCACCTGGTCTGCCGCCCACCCAGTGAGCACCCTGAAGAATGCACCTGTGCACCTGTCCGTTCTTTCCCTCCATTTTCACCCAAATCTGAACTAGGTAGGGTACTCTGGGATCAGACTCCAGCCACAGACTCCAGCCTCTGAGTTCCTTTTCCGGCACATCTGCAGGCTAGAATCAGCTAACAGATGTGCAGGGAGAGAGGGCACCTGTGGAGCTGCGACAGTCAGCCAAGGTCACAGTCCGTGGGAAACAGTCCTCGCCGGCTCTTATGGCAATAATGCTCTGACCAGCATCCTTGAGTCAAAACTAGTGGCTCCCCTTCTCACAGGTGTTCTGTCTCTCTAGTTGCGGGCCATTCTGGAAACACGCGTGATATCCAAAGGGCTTGCATACCGAAGTGGATTTTAAGAGCCGCTGGCTCAGTTGGGATCGTGTGACATCTGGGGTCACGAACTACTTGTATTGCGAGACGTCGCTCGTTTATCGAGTTAAAACTTGTGAGAAACGTTTGCTCGTCTTGCGGAACACTCACAGAACAAGTTACTCCCGATCCAAGGTTTTACTGTAAATGCTAATTTTTGCTTTGTTTGTATCAACCCCAAAGTCCTGCTGGAAGAGCATAAGCAGATGCCCTCTGTTGGAGCCCAGAGCAGAGCTCCCCATTCGGATGGCCCCGCCATGGGAACCTGAGGGTATTCACTCCCACCGAGATGGCGTTATGTGTCCTGTGTCACCCTTTCGTATCCTCAAGCAGACTGCACTCCGCGTAGAGAGTGCCGGTCTGCGGATTACAGATCAGACCCTTCCCATGGCTGCATCACTGGCAACACAGAAAAAGGAACGTGGTGGCATGCAGTCCAAGAAACTCCCTCTGCACAAGTACAGCAACGTAGAATTCCCTGCGTCACGGTACCTGCCGCTAGTTCTTACTGTCACAGCTGTTAAAAGTATCCGTGACACACAATGAGCCCAACTGTTGGTGTCCCTTTGCACGCTTTCTTTACAGACTATCGCCCGTGCATATTGATGACCAGCATTTTCATTTTGTCAAAAAATGCTTAACACACTGCAGGTAGCACAAGAAGTTACCAGGCCCTTGCTCTGCACCACTCAATGCCCCAGACAGGCACTAAGCACTCACAGTACTGTGGTGGGCCAGGGGCAGGACGGGGCCTGGAACCGGCTGCCACCCAGCATGGCACACAGTTACCCTGCTCTTTTTTAACAAAAATCTCAACTTAGCAAAGTGATATGAGTTTATTGTAAAGAATCAGAAGATAGACCTAAAAAAAGACATCATTCATACTTTTAAGAGTTTTTAATTTTCTTTATTTTAGAGAGAGCACATAAGCTCTCTTCCTCCCTCTCTCTCTCTCCCTCCCTCTCTCTCTCTCCCTCCCTCTCTCCCTCTCTCCCTCCCTCTCTCC